TGAAAATGTAAATTAATTATTTATTTAATTTTTATATTTGTCTTTTATATAATTTAATAATTGAAATATTCTAAAATTAACAATTTTGTATTGTTCCTTTTTTTTTTTTATGAAATAATCTTTAATTTATTTTTTCAAATTTATTTAAATAATATAAATAGTCTTTACATTTTTTTGAAAATGTAAAGTAATTATTTATTTAATTTTTATATTTGTCTTTTATATAATTTAATAATTGAAATATTCTAAAATTAACAATTTTGTGTTGTTCCTTTTTTTTTATGAAATAATCTTTAATTTATTTTTTCAAATTTATTTAAATAATATAAATAGTCTTTACATTTTTCGAAAATGTAAAGTAATTATTTATTTAATTTTTATATTTATCTTTTATATAATTTAATAATTGAAATATTCTAAAATTAACAATTTTGTGTTGTTCCTTTTTTTTATGAAATAATCTTTAATTTATTTTTTCAAATTTATTTAAATAATATAAATAGTCTTTACATTTTTTGAAAATGTAAAGTAATTATTTATTTGATTTTTATATTTGTTTTTTTATATAATTTAATAATTGAAATATTCTAAAATTAACAATTTTGTGTTGTTCCTTTTTCTTTATGAAATAATCTTTAATTTATTTTTTCAAATTTATTTAAATAATATTAATAGTCTTTACATTTTTTGAAAATGTAAAGTAATTATTTATTTAATTTTTATATTTGTCTTTTATATAATTTAATAATTGAAATATTCTAAAATTAACAATTTTGTGTAGTTCCTTTTTTTATGAAATAATCTTTAATTTATTTTTTCAAATTTATTTAAATAATATAAATAGTCTTTACATTTTTCGAAAATGTATTTAATTTGAAATTTTTTGTTTGTAAATATATTTTCCAAATAATAATTTTTTTATTTAATTATTTAATTTTTATAATTGCCTTTTTTATATAGTTTAATAATTGAATACATAATATTGTTCGAAATTAACAATTTGTTTTGTTCCTTTTATTGTTCTTTTATGAAAATCTTTGATTTTTTTTTCAATTTATTTAAATAATATTTATATTCTTTAATTTTTTTGACAATACATTTAATTTGATTTGTTGTTTTTTGTAAATATATTTTTCAAATGTAATATTTGTGATTGTATGGTAGTTAGAGTTTGGTTCCCTTGATTTTGTGAGATTATGCTTTCTTTTGTTATCTCTTGTTCAATGCTATAACATTTGAATTTTTACAGGATGGAGTATCATTTAGATGCAGAGTTGAGATGGATGGCAGGGAAAGCTACTTGGAACAGTAGTTTTGAGAGTTTTACTGCTGTGTTGGAGCTGCTCGATGATCAGCACGGAGATACGCTACGACAGTCCTTCTTGTGGCCACTGTACCAGTTGCGAGAGGTGCAGTACTCAGGACATATCATTGATGCACTTCTATGTCGGCTTCTGAGGCCAGTCGACGGCGATTCCCTCCAGTTCGACCTCGGGGGCAAGGTCGTCAGTTTCTCGATGTTTGAGTTTACATTGATCACTGGACTGAGGATTATGGGCAACGATGCAGCCATGGAGAGAAGCAATAGGCTGTACGAGACGTACTTCCAGGGACATAGGTCAGTGCTTCTACCCGACTTGATGGTCGCGATCAGGGGGTGCGACCATATCATTGAAGCTTGGGCTGGTCTACATCCTCGAGAGTGTGATGATGTGTCATCACAAGAAGACTGCCATCGACATTTTTCATTTGCAAGTTGTTGAAGACATCGATGCGTTCAACAACTATCCATGGGGTCGAAGATGCTACGAAGACACCGTACATGTGTTCACCAAATGGCACTTGAGGCCCAGGTGGTTGATGCGTAAATACGATACATATGGATTGCCCTTAGCGGTGCAGGTAAATGTTTAATATAATCAAAGTTAAAGTTTTAGTGTATTACATTGATGCTTAATAAGTGTATGTGTTACAGATTTGGGTGTATGAGACAGTTCCTGTACTGGGGGCCCACTTTGCGCAGCGATGGGAGACACGCTGCCCTCGGATGCATCATTGGAGATCATCGTGAGCCGAGGGATGTCCCACTGGGAAGCAGTTATCGGCCCTTCTCGACGATCCTCAGGTAAGTATTATGCATTTGTGATTTATATTATACGTAGTTTAAAATTTTGTTTACATGATCTTTAAGTAGTTGAAATGTCAATATGTCAGCTTGAAGTCATACCTGAGTTGACGCCGTCGATGGAAGAGGAGGGTCGGGGTCTTGTGCGGGATTTAGGCGTTTCGCACACCCCAGACGAGGAGATGTCTGATTCGAGCTTGGACCGAGATTGGGTATGTGAATGAAATATAATTTATTGAATATCGTCGACGTATAAATTTATTGAATAATTTTTAATTTTATTTATGTAGGAGGACGGTCCAGCTGATCGACGATCACCTCTGCCGAGGGTATCGCCGCCACCATTGGCATCACCTCCGCCGGGAGTATCATCTCTGCCATTGGCATCACCTTCGTCGAGGGCATCACCTTCCCTAGTGGCATCACCTCCGCTGGGGCTATCACCTCCGCCATTGGCATTACCTCCGTCCAGACACCTCCCCCGTGTGTTTCCGGGGCACAGTGATGATTTGTATGCCTGTTTGACTGGATTTATAGTGGAGGAAGTCGGCGCGCTACGACGAGATTTGACAGAGAGGGTCGATGATCTGGGACGAGAGTTGACAGGAAGGGTCGACCATCTGGTAGGAAATGTCAACTATCTGACAGGGAGGGTCGACGATATGGGACGAGAGTTGACAAAGAGGGTTGACGATCTATCCCATGATGTTGGAATACTATAGTCTTCCGTTGTCAACCTTCGGGATACAGTAACGACACTTAGAGGAGATTTAGACGGCAGACGAGGGGGGGACAGAGGGGATGGCGGAGATCATGATCGAGAGAGTGCCATAGATGGTGATGGAGAGGAGAGTCACCCACATTTTTGGAGTGATGAGACATTGGAGTCATTGTGGTTGTCTATGGAGGGAGTGGCCCCGATGGGGATAGAAGAGAGGACTACGGAAGGGGTGGCCCCGACGGGAGGGGCGGAGGAGGTGGTGACGGAGGGGGAGGCCCCGACAGGAGGGGCGAAGGTGGTGGCGATGGAGGGGGAGGCGCCGATGGAAGGGACAGAGGAGGTGGCCCCAAAGGTCGAGAGGACGCCCGGCGTGATTGAGGGTAAGAGACATGCTGTTGACGAGACGGAGCAGGTGGTCGGCAAGAGGTTGAGAGTGCCGTCACAGTATGTTGTTTCCCCTTTCACGGCTGAGGCCAAGAGGAGGACGTTCATCGATGGGACGTACCCGAACTTATTCAGAGAGGTGGACAATGCCAAGTGGAAAGTGTTCGAGACAGAATGGAGGAGAATTATCCCCGGGTAAGTATTGTATGATTTTAATAAAGCACTATACGCTAACTCGTCTACGCTTATTTTAACATTTCCCTATTTTTTACAGAGTTAGCCGCACGATAGGTCAAAGGACGGTCTCGGACCCTTACAAGTGGTTCCACGATATCACCACTGCGGGAGCTTGGCTCGCTGACGATGTAAGTGAACTATTCATTTCGTATTTTTTATGTATATGTGACCTTGTGTTTATTAAATGAATAACTCATACTTTTTTGGTGTTTCCTGCTGCAGCACATCGACCTGGCCATGGATTTCCTGTGAGATCGAGCTCAAAGACATCCAAAATCATTTGATGTCCATGGTAGAGTCATATTAAACACCGAGTTCCTGCGTACCGTTACCATAGAGTATCAATCGCTCAAACTTATGGGTAACGAGTACACGGTGCCAGAATATATGCTCGAGTGGGTGATAGGACTGTCACCGAGTGTCGGGGGAAAATCATGGGAGGGTTGTACATTCCAACGTGCATCAATAAACACTATGTTACGCTGGAGATCGTTTTTGCTTACTCGACTATATATGTGTACAACCCAGATCATTCATGTTTGACACAAGGCCAGTTGGAGCAAAACCTGGAGTCCGTGGTTGTAATTGTTCCTATGATGGTCAGACGAATGGGGATAAATGTACAGGACAGATTGCAGCTCGTTCAGAACACGACGACAGCACGACAGTTCGTAAGGTAAGTGTTTGAACTTTGTTGTTTTCATCTTTCAGATTTAGTTTTTATTTACACAGTACTGAACTGATTCATTCTTGTTCAATTGCAGCGGCAACTGCGGCATATTTGTCATTAAGTACGTTGAATTAAGTATAGGACATAAGGTTGATGGAATCAACTAGCCGTGGATACAGAACTGGAGAAAGAAGCTAGTATGTGATTTGTTCGAATTTAATGCTGACCCATAAATTTCATTTATATATATGTAACATTTCAATTGTAAATTTCATTATTTTTGTAATTATGAAATAATTGTAAATTTGTGTTCAATGTATATAACATTCAAATTGAAAATTTAATTATTTTTTGTTATTTTACACGTATTGCGAGTATGGAACTATTTTTTTCATATGAATCATTATAAATACCATTTATCAAGAATAAATATTGAATATTGAAGATTTATAAAGAACAAATATTGAACAGTGTAAAGTAAAAGGAAATATTATTCATTTCATGTACCTGTCTAGTCGTCATTTAGGGGAATTTCACTGGTACAAAATTGTCGAGTATGCCCTACGGCTCTGCACCGGCCATACCTACGCGATCGAGAAAACTCTCCGGTAGATGGTATTCTAGATATACTTGGACGTCCAGGACCACGCGGTTCAACTGCTGGTGGTAACAAATTATGAAATGTGAGAATGTGCTCGGGAACTTCCCATTCGGCTTCATTCGGCAGAGAAAATATAGTCTCGGCATATGCTGTTCTCCAAGACTCGGTCGTATAATACAAAGAGCATAACGTTCTCGCAGCAAAGCCTCGATACATGGCCACCGCAACTGCATGCTCACATGGAAAACTCTCCAATTGAAATCTCGTACAAGTGCATGTGTTATCAGTCAAGTCCACCATTTATGCCGTATTACGTGCACATTGCACAAAGAAGCGAAACTCATCTAGTGTTTCCACATTCAACTTCCTCGCAACCTCTGCCGCCTTAAACAGTTTCTCCTCTTGAGCTGGGGCCAACACACTAGTGCAGCTCTGTGATGCCGCACGTCGATCATAAAACCACTGTTGTAACTTGTTACGAATGTTCTCAATCATTGCAAGAATTGGTAACTCTCAATCCTTCTTAAACAATGCATTAAGAGACTCCGCGTTATTCGACGTCATCATGTTGTATCGACATCCTGGAAAGTATGACCGTGCCCAATGTTCGATCCCCATCTTTGTCAGATACTCCAACGCCGGTAATGATTTACTTCCTATCTCGAACATGAACTTATTACACTCTTCAGCACTGTAAGCTTCGGCTGCTCTCCTGAACAATGAAACGATGCCTGTGCCCCGATACCTAGTCTTCAAATTACTTGTATATGGTACATGCAATACCCATGATGTGCCTCGGGAAAAACTTCAGCGATACCATTTATTATAGACTGTCCCCGATCGGTTACAAAGGTAAGGTCTTCGACTTCCCCGATCACTTCCCTCAGTTTAGAAAAGAACCAACGCATGGACAGATCATTCTCGCTGTCGACTATGCCGAATGCAATAGGGTAAATTTGGATGTTGGCATCTTGACATGTTGCAATAATTAATTTGCCTTGATATTTAGCTTTCAGAGTTGTACTATCAACTAGAATTATGGGTCGCATTGCATTTCGAAAACCCCGAATACATTGTTCAAGAGCCATGAAGAAATACTTAAAACAATTATCGTCCCCCGTCTCAATAAAAAATGTCGTGGCAGGATTAGTTGTCCCCATGTTATGGCAATACCTAACCAATTTAGCATAGCTCTCTTCAGCCAATCCCATTAAATCCTCCAACGCACATTCTTTGGCCTTCCACTCTTTCTGGTAGCTCATGACCACTCCGTACTCTCGACGGACATCGTTAATGTGTTCGAAGGCCTGTAGATTGCCCGTGGATCCTGATACTTGTGCATTATCATCGACCAATAAACCATACTCGAGTTTGCCTGTGATCGTTTCGAAGAATTCCCACTTCACAAGTATGTTCCCGTGAATACTTGCGAATTACGAAACACTCATTCATGTCCATCTTAGTTGCTCTCAAGCGCCAATTGCAACTATTTTCGACGCAAGCAACTATCAACAATGACTTGTTTGATTTCTTTACCTTGAACTCAAAGTTATATTTTAATGTCAGCCGGTGCACAGCTTCCTACAAATCTTTCTTAGTTTCAAATAGTTGCTCGACCTGCAAGTCCTCATCATCAGGAGCCACATGGAAAGAATTGGAGGACGGTCCACTTGTTCCAACCTGTGAGCTCCCACCCGGCTCGTGTCTCTGTCGGGATAAAGCAATCAAATTCTCATTTGTAAACTCGTTTATATTCTCATTGTCTTCAACTGTCGACGGAATTCTACGCGTAACAGCGACATCACGATCAGAAGCAACTGTCTCAAGAATACCCACATCATTCGTAGGAACTATCTCCACTGTCTCCCAAAAAGCTCGATCATTGTTATCCGCCCTATCTGAATCTTCGCGTTCACCTTCGATAATATCCTTCGTAATTAAAGTCACACCAAGAACAGTCGGAGTCCGATGCATTTGATTCAATTCTAATAGATAATTCAATTCAGCATCATTAGTAACGAATACCGGTGGCATCGAAATGGATGAATCCCCATAATCGTTGAATAGATATCTCAATTGCATATCGTATTGAGATTGATCGACATTCAGCTTATTTTGTAAATCGTGGTATATTTCTAAGTATGGTGTACTCTTTGTTATGGGAATTGCAATACAACCACGTATGTCACTCGTCCATCTCCATTCCCACCGATTATTTTCATTCAATTCGAAATCACCGAAATAACAGATAGGGATTATCATATCTGCATGAGGAAATGGTTTTAATCAACTTCATTTATTAATTATAAGAAAAAATTAGTGCCAACAAAAATCAGTGCAGAGTCGGTTAATTGGCTGTTTCCGACTGTTTGGCTGTTAACAGCCAAAATAGCCAGTTTGGCTGCTTTGGCGCAGGAGAATACGGTTCTAAAGAAAAATATTATACATCTGTTCAATTTTTTTTGATAGTTCAATTTTTTTTGATAGGTAAGATCTGTTAAAAAAAATTTATGCTAACTACTATGCCGACATAAAATTTCTCTATTCAAACATATACTAATTTACTGAAAACGAAATTAAACATGCATAAATGTACTTACCGATTTGAAGTAATTGATATGAAAAAAATTTTCGGCTTCAACATTTCAAAGTTTTTCTAGATTTTGAGGTTCAAACAGATGAAAAGATGAGAGTTTTTCCTGTGTTGGAAGCTTGTTTTGAAGTTTTTATAAGTGAGGAAGTGTTTGATTTTCAATTATTAACTAAAAGGGTAGTATAGTCCTTTCAACAATATATTGTTTTGTAATTGTACAAAACATTTAAGGGCATCTTTGTCTTTTACCATACAAGAGGCCAATGTCATAATATTCATGATTTTGAAAGTCAAAGTGGAATTTAGGTCCTTTGACTGGGTCAAACTTAAAAGTACCCCCTAATAATCGGCTACAGTTGATGATAGAGATACGATCTTATGTCTCTTTGTCTGCCAGGATATTAAAGAAGATCTCACAAAACACATAACCCGTGGTGGATTTACGAGAAGTTGGACAACCTGCCTAACGGATTGTAAAGATAAATCATTTTGAGAAGGGAAAAAAACCCTATCCTGCGTTACTTTTTAAATAACTCGGTACACGCATGGCAACTTCCGTATGTGGTATGCGTGGTGTATGCATAGCACATGTACCGAATAAGTAATATCAAGTCAAGTAAACATCAAATAAATTACGTGACCAAAAAGCCACCTATATTGAGATGGATCTCTAAGAAATTTATCTTTATCCGAGAAGCTTTATGTTTTGCTCCATTGGATAGTTCATGGGTTTAGCTCTCAATAATCCACCATCCTTTAGAATTTTCAAAGTATAATTTCTATGTAAGATGGAAACACCTTTCTTTGATCGAGAGACTTCAATGCCCAAAATATATTTTAAATCACCCAAATCTTTAATTCGAGAATGATTATGGAGAAATTACTTAAGAAAAGATATGGCATTGAGATCATTACTCGTAATGAGACTGTCATCAACATATATCAATAAACTTTTAAGGATTTGCCTTTTTGACATGTGAACATAATTTGCTTTGGATTGAACAAATCCAATAGTTTTAACAGATGTAGAGAACTTAGCAAACCAATAACAAGAGGCATACTTTAAGTATAACGGTTTGTTGAGGTGACACACTATGTTCTCCCCTTGTCATTGAAAATTGGGTGGTGGAGACATAAATTTCTTCATGGAGATCAATGTGAAGAAAAGCATTGCAGACATCAAGTTGGTAAAGAGACCAATTTTGGGCAACTACCAAAGCTAATAAGCAATGATTAATAATCATTTTAGCAGTGGGAAAAAAGTCATGATAATCGATACCATCAAGTTGTGTGTAATCTTTTGCAACTAAATGTGCTTTGTAACACTCAAGAGTACCATCTGAGTTCCACTTTGTTTTATCAACCCAACGATAATCAATAGGCTTGTCCTCAAGAGGTAGAGAAGAAACCAAGAGTAGTTGGCTTCTAA